ATACACAGAGAGAGAGAGAGAGAGAGAGAGAGAGAGAGAGAGAGAGAGAGAGAGAGAGAGAGAGAGAGAGAGAGAGAGAGAGAGAGAGAGAGAGAGAGAGGCTCCATTCTGTCGCTGTTAGGTGGCCGCATTTCGTCGTGGGTGTGCGAGACGGGATGCCGGGTGTTTGCGCCAAAGAGGGAAAGAAAAAATTTTGAAAAAACTGCGGAGGCCGTCGCTACCACTGGCTCTTTTTTCTGGAGGTGATGCCACTCGGCAGCGCTTCTAAGTCGTTGATATGATGTCGATGGAGATAGAAAGATAGATAGATAGCAAGCGCGCGACAGACAGAGGGAGACCAAGAGAGAGAGAGAGAGATCTGGAGAGAGATTGAGTGACCCCCAACACCAATGATCCGCAGCCACGTGCTTTTCAGCCCAAGCTGTTGGGGGACTGAGACAAACTGCAGGGCGCTGAAAGACAAAAGGGGAAGGAAATAAAAAGAATGTCGTCGGCGAGCTACGTTCTTGTCGTCTTCAGCCTGCGGTAACAGTGGGGCTCCGAGGTCACTTTGTACACACGCGCCGGCTTACCCCGTGCTTAGTTTGTCGTGTGTGTGAGTAGCTGTCTGTGCTTTGTGGGTCGTTGTACACAGTCGACTCATAGGGCCTCGCTGCACTACTCTCGACATGCACAAAAGACAAAAATCATGGCGATGTATCTTTCCGTATTCGAGCGGAAGATTCACTTTCGTTTCGAGAGTAGTGCAGCGAGGCCCCTACTCAGTGCATGTGCTACACTGTAGTGCTCCTTGTGCTTTGAATACCGGTGCAAAAAGGACTTTGAATGCTGTCAACAGAACTACTGTAGTACGTGCTATGTGTACAAAGCACAAGGAGATCAGTGAGCAGACCTTTGAATGCTGAGTAGGGGCCTCGCTGCACTACTTTGTAGACAGTCTGTGCCTTTGTACTTGGCTTCGTATGTGCTATGTGTGAGTACCTTTCTGCTTTACCCTACAGTCAGCCAACGGTTGGAATTTGTGCCNAGACAGTCTGTGCCTTTGTACTTGGCTTCGTATGTGCTATGTGTGAGTACCTTTCTGCTTTACCCTACAGTCAGCCAACGGTTGGAATTTGTGCCATTCCGATGTTACTTTGCAGACAGTCTGTGCCTTTGTACTTGGCTTCGTATGTGCTATGTGTGAGTACCTTTCTGCTTTGTCTGTCGCTCTACACAGTCAACCCGGTGTGACCAGTCGGAGATCAGTGTGATACAGAGGTTTGGTCACAGTCAATTGCTTAGGACGTGCTTAGTATGTGCTATGTCTGAGTTCCTGTGTGCTTTGTCTGGCATTCTATACAGTCAATAGGGTCCCTCCGAATGGTCGACCAAGTCCCAGGTCATGTGTTAGTGATGGGAGCTCATAGCTGGCTTTTCGTCATCAGTGACCCCAGGGTTGGAAACTGTGCAATTCCGAGGTCACTTTGTACACAGTCCATGGCTTGGGGAGTGCTTAGTTGTGCTGTGTGTGAGTAGCTGTGTCCTTTGTCTATCACTGTATACAGTCATCGTAGTCTCTGAAATCTGTGTCATTCAGAGGTCTGCTCACAGCCGAAATCGCTTAGTACGTGCTTACTATGTGCTATGTGTGAGTAGCTGTGTGCTTTGTCTGTCGTTGTATATAGTCAG